TTAGGTGCCATCGAGTTGGTACCAACTCATAGCACCCCTATGCACAGCAGAATGAAATACTGCCCGATACTGGGCCAATTTCACTACTGTTGCCATGCTTGAGTCCACTGATGCTGCCACTTGGCCAATCCATCTCATTGGAGGGAGGGGGGGTCTTCCTCTTTTTCTCTGACCCTCCACCTTATCAAACATGATATCCTTCTCCAGCGACTGGTCCCTTCTGACAATATGTCCAAAGTATGAGATACGAAGTTTGGCCATCTTGGCCTCCAAGGAGCACTCAAGCTGCACTTCTTCCAAAATGGATCTATTAGTTCTTTTGGAAGCCCATGGCACTTTCAATATTCTTCTCCAACAGCTTAACTCAAAAGCATCAATTCTTCTATGGTCTTCCTTATTCACTGTCCAGCTTTTGCATGTGTATGAGGTTATTGAAAATACCATGGCTTGGGTCAGGCGCACCTTAGTCCTTAAGCTGACATCTTTGCTCTTCAACACTTTAAAAAGGTCTTGTGCAGCAGATTTGCCTAATGCAATACGTCATTTGATTCCTTGACTGCTGCTTCCACAAGTGTTGGTAGTAAAACATTTACTGATGAAGATGAAAGAGCACGGGTATGAATTACATTTCAATGCAAAGTAAACAAAAATCCTCACAACTGGACCACCAATTAACAACATTCTTATCAATGGTGAAAAGATTGAAGTTGTCAAGGACTTCATTCTTCTTGGATCAACTATTAACGAAAGTCTATGGGATATTGTTAATGAAGTCCAGGTGTGTCACTGTCCTGGATAAGCATTGGATCATTAACCATAAGGTCAGCAGTTCAAACTCACCAGTTGCTCCTTGGAAAACACGATACAGGCTGTCTCTATGAATCGGAACTGACTTAATGGCACTTACCACCAGCACCACCACCACCAAAGCGTAACCATTAAATAATAAAACAATACAGGAAGCATCTAACCAATGTTGTTATAAAGTTGATTCCAACTCACAGTAACCCTATATAAGATCTCCAAGAAGCAGCTGATGAGTTTGAACCACTGACCTTGTGGATAGCAGTCCAGTGCTTATCCAACACTACCAAACTAGGACTCCATTGAAGATAAGCAGAAGAAACAAAGATGAAAGAGAAAGTTATGCGTTAGAAAGTAGAACAAAACTAAAACTAATAAGGAAACTGAAAACTGAAATCAATTAATTAAAAAAATAAACTACTAGATTTGTAAAGAAAATAAATAATGTGAAAAAAAAATAAAGTAAATAACAGAATTTCAAAAGAGTTAAGGTATGTAAACAAACACTTTTTCTTTAAAAAGATAGGGTTATCAATGAGCAACCACCTCATACACCAAAAAATTCACCAGGCCCAAGATGGCCAAATTTGTCTCTCATACTTTGGACATATCGTCAGGAGGGACCAGTCACTGGAGAAGGATATCATGTTTGGTAAGGTGGAGGGTCAGAGAAAAAGAGGAAGACCCACAATGAGATGGATTGGCCAAGTGGCAGCATCGATGGACTCAAGCGTGACAACAGTAGTGAGGTTGGCCCAGGATCCGACAGTGTTTCATACTGCTGTGCATAAGGTTGTTATGGGCCGGTACTGACTCGATGGCACCTAACAACAGCAACAACAATAACTAGTTTCACAGAAATAATTTACTAAAAATTTAAAGAGCAGACAATGCCAATAATATTTCACAATTCTAAACTCAGGAATCAGCAAATGATGGTCCACAAGTCAAATCAAGCTCACCTGTTTTTATAAATAGATTTATTAGAATTGTTATTGTTATGTGCCACTGAGTCGGTTCCAACCCACAGTGACACTGCATAGGGTTTCCAAGGAGTGGCTGGTGAGCTTGAACCTCTGACCTTGAGATTCAAACCGACTTTGCAGCCCAATGCTTTAATCCACAGCGTGACATCAGGACTCCATTTATAGGAATAGTTACACTCATTTGTTTATGGTTGCTTTGCAGTGAAATGGCAGAGGGGAATAGTAGTGACACCAAATATATGATCTGTATGCCTGAAATATTTACTAGCTCGTCATTTACAGAAAATGTTTGTTAACCCATGCTATAGCACATGGCAAAGGAAGAAACTTCCAGTTATTTTTTTTCTTTTGAAAGTCCACATTACAGCCCTTTCCTACATGGGACACTGAAGCTCATCTGGGACTGTAGTTAATAGCTCGACTTTGCTCAGTCTCTCTTATTCATTTAATCTTCAGCAGACCTCACTGCAGTGCTACAAAAATCTCACTAGGTCTTAATCAATTTAAAATTTCTTATTGAGATCAGAATCATACATACTTCAAAGCTGGGCAATAAAAAAATATGTGTTCTCTTCATCACTCACATAATCAGCATAAGTGTTCCAAACTTGCTTTATATTTAAATAAACAAATCAGTGGAGCTGATCCTCTAGGCTACCTTCTGAACTGTCTTCTGTTTAAAAATACTTGTTTTTTTTCCTTCACCTAAATTAACATGTGTATACCCTCTAGCCAGTGACCCACCTCCTTTGCCCTCCTACCTCTAATAACCATCAAAGACTGTCTCTTTTCAGTGTGAAACTTTGATTTAAAAAAAATTTTTTTTTTACAATAGTGGTCATATTCAATAAAGCATCAACAAATATTAAAACATTAAACTGTTAACATAATCAAGTAGGACTCATTAAAGAAATAGTTGTTGTAAAGTGCTGTTGAGTCGGTTCCGACTCATAGCAACCCTGTACAGGGTTTTCAATGAGCGGCTGGTGAGCTTGAACCACCAACCTTGTGGTTCAAACTGACCTCGCAGTCCAGCGCATTGACCCACAGCGCCACACCAGGATTCCAAGTTCAATATTACATAACCTCATAATACGATTTATTATACTTTTAGATAAGGGAAAACATTATCTAATATATATTAGTGGTCCACTGTTTGTTAGAGTCAGTTATGACCCACAGCGACCCTATATAGGGTTTCTGAGGAGCAACTGGTGAACCTGAACTTCCATCCTTGCAGTTCAAACTGACTGTGTAGCCCAGTGCATTAACTCACAGCACCACACCAGAAGCTAAGAAGTGGATCAAAATGGACGTCAGAAGAGACTCTGAAACTTGCTCTTGCATACAGAGAAGGTAAAGCAAACGAAAGAAATGAAGTAAAAGAGCCGAAGAGAAAATTTCAAAGGGCAGCTTGAAAAGACAAAGTTAACATTCTACTATTAATAGAGGCTAAAAAGTCATTTGACAATCTGTTTTTGTTTTTTTTAAATCAGTACACTATATGTAGATAACTATCTCAGATATGAGGCTAACAATAGAATCACTGTCACTAAAGTCAGGAGCAAACAAAAGTGCCTGTGTTTTAATAGTATGAATCCAGCAGCCACTCAATAGAGAAAAAGGCGGCAGTTTCCTCCCATAAAAATTGTTGTTGTTAAGTGTTGTTGAGTCAGTTCTGACTCATAGGGTTTCTAACGTGTAGCTGGAGGGTTTGAACTGCTGACCTGAGTAGTCCAGTGCCTATCCTACCGCACCACACCAAGACCCTACCGGGCACTTCTACAAAGCCCTATAAGGTTGTTATTAGTTGGAACTGACAGGATGGTGATGGGTTATTAGCAATATTCAACACTGTATAGAATCTATTAGCCAATGCAAATGGACAGAGAAAAAACTAATGTTAAAGACATGAGAAAGTCATAAAGCTATTATTATAAATATTACTATATACCTGAAAAATATAATATTGTCAACTCAAAATCTAACATGAATAATAATAGAATCAATAGGCAGTAAGGTACAAAATCAATGTAAAGAAATCCACAGCTTTCACATATACCATTTTCCAGTTATAAGTCTCTTAGACGAAAAGACACCATTTAGAAGGATAAAAAGGGCACTATACTTAGGAATAGGCTTCCTAAAAAAATATAAAACTTAGATAAAGTACACAACAAAATCCTAACACCTGATCAGAGAGGCTTTAACATGTTGTTCATCAACAGGAGAACTAAGTAACATGTTGATTTTTCTTATGCTAATGTATGAAAATAACATCCCAACCAATTTTTTTTAATGGGGGAGGAAGTTTAATAAGTTTAAATAAATTGTAAAGTTCTGTAGCAAGTCATCTAACTAGGGAAAATATCTGTAATATTTAAAGAGTTCTTTTATAAAAGATTAAAACCAAATTAAGAACAAAACTGGGTCAAAGATATAAAAAGGAAATTCATAGAAAAAGACATATAAATGACAGAAGCTTAAAAAAATGTGTTCAACTTCAATGATAAAAAGGGATAACTAAAGAACTCAAATGGACACACCATTTTTTATCTATCAGATTGATAAAAATAAAAAAGATTCATAACAGAAATTTGGCAGGGCTATGGGAAAAATGAAGTTCACCCACACTTCAACTTTTATGTCTCTGTCCTATAGATGAACCTACATATCTGCAAAATTATCTTCTGCAAAAGGTTATTCCTTGCAGAATCATTGTAATATCAATATGTGTCCATCAAATAGTTACAATATATTCATATAATTTAAATATATAATGATAATACATGTGTCAATATAAAACAATTTCCCACCTTTATTATTTTATGAGTAAGCATAACAAGATGAAGAATACTGTATACTTTATACTAACAACTGCATTTAAAAAAGGAAGAACTGTTTGTTTCCTTATATACATATCAAAAATGCATACATTTTTAATGAATAAATATGGTAAGTCAATTGCAAAGCCAACTTGAATCAAAATGTTAATTCCTAGAAGGAAGAGAAAATGGAAATTGGCAGGACAAAGACTTTTTACTTTACATCCTTATATAATACCTATTCAAAAAATTAATTTAGCTTATTTCCTAAGCTACTAAAATATTAGAATGTAGTATTGCCATATAAGGGTATTGCATTCTTTTTAAAAAGGTATTGCAAAAAGGGACCTTAGTTCTGCAATGTATGGAATAATACGTAACATACTCAGTTTCCTTGGTTTCTTTTTTCTCAACCCACACATCAGTAATAGCACCCGGCAAGCTACTGTCTTTGTTTATTCCACAAAGATCTTGTAGAACTTCTGTTTCCAAATCATCAGGTTCTACAAAGTGAAAATATAAAAAGAAACACGTCTGAAAGCAAAATCAGCATATACAGAATTGAGTAGATCTACAAATTATTACTTTCCAATTTTAGGCTAATATAATAATAATAAAAGAAAGTTTAAGCATTTTTAATCTGTAGACCTCCACGCCTAATAATGTGCTAAACTCTGTAATTTTATTCTGAAATAAAAGAACCTTCCTTTTGCATTTTCTCTACAATAAAAATGGTCAAAAGAAATATTATATATTCTGTACTTTTTATTATCATATACATATTACTCGTTATTAAATATTTTGTAAAATGTAAATTGTTTTAAAGAAGTTATACAAACAAGTTTAAAGGTTAAAAACATGTGGATAGAAATATGAGAGAACAGACTGAATAGTAATTATAAAGAATATTTAAACAGTAATAATCCCTGAAAAACAACCAAAAGGATTATTCAAAATCTATCTTCCAGCAAACAAAAAAGAAAATAAAGATTACCAGCAATTATTTTGAAAACATAATTGAAGTACACCAAAGTTATTTTCTTGGCCCTCAACTTAGTTACAGGCAACTAATAATTAATGTATGAATACCATCTTGCTAAAGACACCACATCACTTCTTTTTTTCCTGATATTCACAAACTCTCTTCATTTTCAAAGTTTTCAATTATGTGATGTAATTGGAAATATTACATATTATACCAATTCTTAAAGTTTTTATCCTTTATTTAATTTTTTGTAACTAACAAGGTTGCTATGAGTCAGAACTAACTCAACGACACTTAACAACAATAAAAATAATATTAGGTAAGCACTCTGGTGGGAAGAAATCCTTTTTTACTTTATGTTATGAATACTATCCTCTAGTACATTATCCATGTTGTTATGTTCTGCAAAACAGAACAAAACACTGCACAGTCCTGTCCTATCCTCACAATTGCTGATATGCTGGAGCCCAATTAATTACCCACTGTTTTAATCCATCTTGTTGGGGGGCTGGGTCTTCCTCTTTTTCACTAAACTCCATTTTACCAAGTATGATGTTCTTTTCCAGGAACACCATACTTGATAATTACTCTAACAACATGTCCCAAATGTCAGAGATGCAATCTCACTATCCTGGCTTCTAAGGAGAATTATGGCTCCACTTCCTCCGAAACAGATCAGCTTGCTCTTCTGGCAGTCCATGGTGCTTTCAATATTCTTCTCTAATACCATAACTCAAATGCATCAATTCTTCTACACTCTTCCTACATTGTCCAACTTTTTAACATGCATACAAAGCTACTGAAAATACCCTGGCTTGGGTCCAGCACATCTTAGTCCTCAAACTGATATCTTTGCTCTTGAACACTCTAAAGAAGTCTTCTGCAGATTTTTCTAAAACAATCAGTCATTGGATTTCTTGATTGCTGCTTCCATGAGTGTTGACTGTGGATTCAAATAAAATGAAGTCTTTGACAATTTCAATCTTTTATCACAGTGTTATTTACTGGTTCAGTGGTGAGAATTTTGTTTTCTCTACATTGACATGCAATCCATATTGAAGGTTGTGGACTTTGAGCTTCATCAGTATGCATTTTAAGTCCTCTTCCCTTCCAGGAAGTAAGGCTGTATCATCTGCAATATCACATGTTGTTAATGAATCTGCTGGTCTTTGGTCTTAAGTGTCTAATGCACCAGATCTGTTACTCAGATGATCTCTAAATTCAGTCGGGATATGTTCAAGGTCTTATTTTGGCTTTTGTGGATTTCTTTTAATTTTCTTTGGCTTAAGCCTAAACTTGTATATGAGCAATTGATGATTTCTTCCCCTGGCCTTGTTTTGGCTAATGATATCGAGCTTTTCCAATGTCTCTTTCCACAGATGTTGTCAATTTGATTTCTGTGTATATTCTATCTCCTGAGGTTTCTCTGTATAGTCGTCTTTTATGTTGAATAAAAAAGGTATTTGCAATGCAGAAGCCTTTGGTCTTACGAAATTCTAGCATGGGCTCTCCAGTGTCCTTTCTACCACTAAGGCCATATTTTCCAACCACTGATCCTTACTTTGTTTCCAACCTTTGCATTCCAATCACCAGTAATTATTATACATTTTGATAGGAGGTGTGATCAATTTCAAACTGAAGAAGTTGGTAGAATTCTTCAGTTTCATCATCACTGGTTTTAGAGGATGGTGCATAAATTTGAATAATAGTGCTATCAACTGGTGTTGTACCAACTCATAGCGACCTTATGCATAGCAGAATGAAACACTGCCTGATCCTGGGCCAACCTCACTACTGTTGCCACACTTGAGTCCACTGATGCTGCTACTTGGCCAATCCATTTCATTGGGGGTCTTCCTCTTTTTCTCTGACCCTCCACCTTACCAAACATGATATCCTTTTCCAGAGAATAGTCCCTCCTGACAATATGTCTGAAGAGAGATGAAGTTTGGCCATCCTGGCCTCTAAGGAACACTCTGGCTGCACTTCTTTCAAAATGGATCTATTGGTTCTTCTGGCAGCCCAAGGCACTTTTAATATTCTCCTCCGACACCATAACTCAAAAGCATTAATTCTTCTACGGTCTTCCTTATTCACTGTCCAGCTTTCACATGCATATGAAGTTATTGAAAATACCATGGCTTGGGTCAGGCACACCTTAGCCCTCAAGCTGACATCTTTGCTCTTCAATCTTCAACACTTTAAAACGGTCTTGTGCAGATTTGCCTAATGTAATTCGTCATTTGATTTCTTAACTGCTGCTCCCATTAGTGTTGATAATTGATCCAAGAAGAATGAAGTCCTTGACAACTTCAATCTTTTCTCCATTGATAAGAATGTTGTTAGCTGGTCTAGTGGTGAGGATTTTTGTTTTCTTGACATTGAGATGTAATGCATATCGAAGGCTGTGCTCTTTGATCTTCATCAGTAAATATTTTAAGTCTTCTTCACTTTCAGCAAGCAAGATTGTATCATCTGCATGTCACAGGTTGTTAATGAGTCTTGCTCCAATCCTGATGCCACGCTTCTCTTCACATAACTCAGCTTCTCAGATTATTTGCACAGCATACAAGTTGAATAAATATGGTGAAAGAATACAACCATGTTGCACACCTTTTAAAATTTTAAACCATTCAGTGTTCCCATGTTCTGTTCGAACAACTGCTTCTTGGTCCAGGTACAGATTCCTCATGAGAACAATTAAGTGTTCCGGAATACTCATACTTCTCAATGTTGTCCACAGCTTGTCATGATCCACATAATTGAAAGCCTCTGCATAATTAGTAAAGCACAGGTTAACATCTTTCTGATATTTTCTTTCAGCTAAGATCAACTGAATGACATCAGCAATGATATCCCTTGTTCCATGGCCTCTTCTGAATCCAGCTTGAACCTCTGGAAGTTCTCTGTCAATGTATGCTTGCAGCCGTTTCTGTA